CACGCCTTGTTACCGTACTCCGTACTCATTCACCCATACATTCATTGTGTGTGTATGTGTGAAAAGTTACCATCACCCGAACCGACCAGAACCAAAGGTGTGTCTGTATGGCAAGTCGCTCACAATTTTAACACCCGGTCTATTCATTCATTCATTCCTTCGTTCAGACAAGCAGACATATCCACACGCCTCGTCTTGAACTGTGCTTCAGTCCTGCTAAGGGCCCCCGGCACTCGACCAGACTACATGTGTTCAAAAAGATACCACCACCCGAACCGAACCAAAACAGGGGCATGTTAACCACACCTTTCATTCGTCCATTCATTCATACATCCAATCATTCACGCAGACAAAGAAATGTAAGCACACGCGCCTGCCCTGCAGTAGTGTGGCCCGGCACAATGTAGCTGTAGTAGCTGGTACACAGTAAGCACAGTAAGCTGGTACACGCATAGCACGACCACCAGCATCTCGAGAGGCCTTTTCAGCGGCCAGCTACTAAATAATGCATGAACGTCACATAGAGGAAGGTAGCATAATACGAGCCGTCAACGATAGGACCATCACCGCCAACCGGACTGTGTGAACCTGTCTCCAGTGCGTCACGCAGCACACTGACTGCCTTGACGCTTCCAGTTGAGGGATCCATGTCCAGGTCGGCCAACCTGTCAGTGAATGGCGGTAAGTCAGCCACAAACCAGTCTGTACCTAATCCCAGGTTGGATAGAGTGGCGCGCTGGTTCTGTTTGTCCTTGTAGTTGAGATCCTGGCTGGTCACATTCACCAAGCAGTACTGCTGCTGAAAGCCGCTGTGGGTTATGCATGGTTTGATGCCATACTACAATGGCCTGTCTGTTTTCTGCGCCAACATTTGGCGTTTGTGCGTGGGCAATCTGGGAGTCAACAGCAGGAGGGAGGACCCCTGACATGGGGAGCGCGGGTAGCCAATCCACACGGAAGTGTCGTGGTTTACATGGGCCCAGACGTGCAACGTTTTGTGTCAGTGTTTGGTTGTATGGGTGGAATACCGGGGGCGACTTCATGGGCCATGCCCCGCCCAACGGAGAGCTCGATGGATTAAGGCATAGATTGCATATGGCGAACATATTCTTCTCGGCAGACATCTGCATTTTCATTTGTTTTCAATGTAGCTCGTGGTACTGAGTTTAGCGGTTTATCAGAGATTTGTCATTGTTTCCACCCGAACCTATTCATGTGTACGAGTGTTGTGGGATAAACTGGACGGACTGTCGATAAAGTGTGGTGTGAAAACAGTGGGACCTCGACAGCTGACTTGACTGGGTAATGCGGTCGTGGCCCTGAGTGCTTGCCTCCGGTAGTAGTAGTAGTAGTGCCAGAGTACGGTAACCAGGTGTGCAAGTTTTCCCACTCCATGTCGTGGGATCGAATCTAATACACACATGAGGCACTTGTAAGCGGTCCTCTTGCAAAGTTTTTCTGTAAATTCCTTAAAAGTCATGTGCTTTTGGATGCCAGCCCCAGCCAATCCTGCCAACTTGACAGCCAATTCGACACCCTGTCAGGCTAATTCGATACCCTGTCAGGCCAATTTGACACCCCGAACAGGTCAATTCGATACCCTGTCAGGCTAATTCAATACCCTGTTAGGCCAATTCGGCACCCGGACAGGCCAATTCGACACCCGGACAGGCCAATTCAGGCGCAGCACAGCCCAATTCCGAGGCTCCACAGCGCAATTCGAATACCTCCGGCGGGTCCGCCAGAACAATTCCAGACCTCGGCAGACCAATTCTTTTGTCAGGAATAAAATCCAGGCTAATTCTGCGACAGAGCTCTTCCCTAATTCCAGCCCGAATCCTACCCTCCTGGTGTACGCAGAAGTACCACCGCTGCAAACCGCGACCCGCAACGGACCTAGGCTGGATACCGGATGATCACCCGCACGTGGGATAGGCTGGGTGGGCTCGAAGGCATGGTAGGAGGCGACCACTGGGTCAGCCGAACTACGGATCTCGACGAGCTCTTCTGCATACGGGCTTTTATTATCGGAACTAGGCCGTGTGCAAAACATCTGGTCATAAGCGCGTACTTGGTCTGGATGCTAGGTGCTCTGTGTGCGTCGCTGGGTGGGCTCGAAGGCATGGTAGGAGGCGACCACTGGGTCAGCCGAACTACGGATCTCGACACGCTCTTCTGCATACGGGCTTTTATTATCGGAACTAGGCCGTGTGCAAAACATCTGGTCATAAGTGCGTACTTGGTCTGGATGCTAGGTGCTCTGTGTGCGTCGCTGGGTGGGCTCGAAGGCATGGTAGGAGGCGACCACTGGGTCATAACCCTCCCAACGCTGCCAACCCCAATGCCACAACCCTGCCTACCTGCCATACCCTGCCGACCCCAATATCACAACCCAACCCTTCCTACCTGCCAATCTCTCCAACCCTCTTACCCTTGACAACCCTCTGGCCCCCCTAAAACTGTACGACGCCTCCTTTTCACCACAGCTTCTTTACCCCTCTGCCCCCAATCCCAAACTCCCCAACTCTCACTTCCCCAAATCCTGCAAGCAAAGCCTTCCAAATATAACGTACCCTAAAGCCCTGACCCCAAAAGCCTTTCACCTCCTGATGCATGGCCCTCAGATGGACAGGGAAGCACCCTTCCTGTGTAACCCCAATGCCATGAATCTTTGCTCATTCAAATTCCATGACTCCCGGCCCTTTGGACCCCATTGCCAGGAACTGGACATGTTTACGTTGTGGACCCTATCTTCTCATTCATGCCCTGCTGCCCAAACCATGCACATTCCCGCTGAATGCCCTGAGGATGAACAAGATCCGTGGCTTGTTGCTGTCATAATGGGATGCCAAAAGTTAATCCTTCAAGCATGGCCTCAGTTCTCTGCTATGGGTTGCCGCGGCATTAGAGAATTGACCCATCGCATTTGACAATCCAAGATCTCGAGGGCACCACCTAATAAACCGCAACCCTAAACCCGCAGCTCACGCAACATGTACAGATGTACTGTTAGACACAAAGGGCCAATGGACAAACACAATGTAACCTGACATAAGATAGCCTGTTTATCCTTGTTTACGAGCATAACAGGTACCAAGCACAGGTACTAGGCATCATACCAAGCCACTTCACCTCAGTGTGAGCAATAAAGTCATTGCTGGTGCCAGAATCAGCAAGTGCAAGCAGAGAACAGTTGACAATGCGGACTTGGATCAGAGGCACCTTTACACCTGCCAGAGCAGCAGACTGAGGCAAGAGTGATGAGGCTGAAAGTCAAGGTAAAGTGTCAGGTGCAGCAACAGCATGTCATGGGGGATTGTACCAATCATTGAACACGTACAGCAACCCAGGAAGCAGCACAGGCCGACCCTCCAGATTGAGTCCGTTGAACAACAGTGTTGCTGGACTAAATTGCAAAACACGCTGCATCCCGGCCATCAGAGCCAAAACCCTCCGTGCAGAGTATGAGGGGGTAAGGATACACACCACAATTTCCAAGTGCTGATGCTTGCAGATGTGATACACAGACAGCTGCTTCTGCAACCCAGAAACAAAAGAGGGGAGGAAGAGAACCGGATGGCTGCATAGGTCATTAGTGGAGAGAGACTGAGGATGCAGCACAAGCGGATTACACAGAGTGTCAAAGTCCCCCTTCACGGAATGAGTGTCAAATGTAAGCTTTCATCCAATGACTCGTTCAACCTGTGCTAAGATGGAGGGCAACCGTGCCCTGGCAGCCTGCCTAGCAGTGAACAACGGCAACACACTCTCTACCTCTAACCCAGAAGGAGTCCCCTTGTAACACAGCAAAGGCGTAACCCGGGATGCTCAGATTGGCATTTGCGTCGTTACATTGCCCCCCACTTAGCAATGGACGTCCTCGGCCATTATTTCGAGCACAGGAGCCATCCCACCTCGCGCCAGTGCGCTGGTTTATCCATTACACCATGAAATCGCCAATTTGCGACTTGCTGGTTGCCAGAATCGAACCGCCGACCCGAAGTTTGTTACGGAAGTCGTGCAGTCCCGTCTCGATACCATTGTAACACAGCAAAGGCGTAACCCGGGATGCTCAGATTGGCATTTGCGTCGTTACACCCCTCCATCTCAGCCTGTTCCCTACTTCTTGTTTTCTGGCCACAATGAACAGTTCACCGTGGGGTGTCCGCCCCCACAACACAAACACTTATTTCGCTTCTTGCACTCATTAAGCTCTGCTTTCATACAGCAGAATTTCTTTAGCCACTGCTCATTGTCGCGTTTACACTTCCGACCCGACTGTTTTTTAGTCCCAGCCGAGGAAGGCCCCGCCTCTGAACCCATCTGTCTCCCAGCCCATCGATGCTGGCCCTGATGGCCCCCCCTAGGCTCACTGGTACCCGCAGCAGCAGCAGTGCCACCCTCCCTGCATCCCCATCCAAAAGCGGCAGCAGTGGCGGTGTGAGGGGCGGGTACCGGCACCTGAGCAGGGGAGCCGACAGGGTACAGCTCTGGGGCCTGCAAGGTAAGGGCATTGGCGTGGGGTGCAGAATGAGAAGCTTGTCTATGAGCAACGAGGCGCATTTCAGCGCCTTAGGGTTGCTGTAAAAAGTGAAAGGAGTTCCAGAAAGATCAGTAGCACATTCCCCAATTAGCTCTTCAGAGAGTCCATGCTGGAACCAGAAAATCCGATCTCCTTCTGACAAGTCAGTGATAGGTGTGATCAATACCTCAAAGTTTGATTGGTACACTGAGACCAACTCACCAGAGCGCATGCGGTGTGATAAACTAGCAACAGCGGTACACACTTCCACATCACGTGGCAAGATCTCAGGGGTGAAACGAGCGAGTAACATGGTGAACAGTTCGTCGGACGTGAATGAAGACCGAGCCGTTGACCACTGATCATACCAAGTCTTGGCGGCACCGTTCAAAGCATTGGCGATGAACAGGCAGTGAACTGGCTCCCGGTCGCCACCCTGAATGAACTTAGGCAAAAACAAGCGCATCAGCAAGGGGAAGAAGGGAGGCAAGAAGAAGGCCTCGGACCCCTTCACCAAGAAGGACTGGTATGACATCAAGGCTCCCACCGTTTTCACGGTCCACAATGTGGGCAAGACCTTGGTGACCAGGACTCAGGGTACCCTAAAACCCTAAGGTACTGCTTCACATCCTTGACAAATGCATGTGTACTCTCCATCATGGCCCGACCTAATTCGTGAGATCTAAGATCGGACAAAAAGTTCAACCTAGGTACTGGAATGGAAAGTCTAAGTACCTCAGCATTGTCACGTCACACGACTGTAGCATCGAACAAAACACGTGTGTACAGCAGACTGGAGTGCAGGTTGGTCTGGTGAAGTCCTGCAGGTAGGTAAAACCCTAAAACACCTGCAGGTGCTGACTAGACGGCACAAAAAGGGCAAGTCATAATATGCAGCAACTAGCAACCTACAAAAGGTCCAGGGTTCCCTCTAGGCAATCAATCAACAGCGAACAGGGTTTACCTCACCGAGTGAGTATGCCTGGCGTGAAGGCTATGGGTGTTGATGGGCCCACACAGGAGTTTGGCTGGTTGGTGGACATTCCTTATGCGGTTGACACAAGGGAAGGACCACACAGGGCTTATTACCTAGCTCACGGAACATTACAATGTTCCAATATGATGGTGAGCCGTAAAGTGACTTGACCAAGCTCGCTGCCGGCTATTAATACCGAAGTCAAGCCATCAATCACAGCCCTAAGGCACTGATTGGGTGGGTAACCCATGGGTTACCCATCGGTTACCCACCTTCAACCCCCCGTAGCCCATAGGTAACCCCCTTGTAAGTTCCTACCCAGCAGGAGGGGTAACACGGCCCCAGGGTAACCCCCTCCGTTGCCCTGGACTATGGACATGGGCCTATAGGCTACTCATCTTATTTGCTGCGCACTTCGTGAATTCATTTTAGTACATTTCTGTAAATGTACATGTTGAACCTACAGTATCCCGGTAGCTCGGGAAGCATCGTTCGCCAATATGAATTAAAGGCCTCTAACGCTACAGGAAAATTTTAGTAGAAGATTTAGAACTATGTATGTATTCAGTTCTAGCGTTTGTTCCCGCTTTGAGGGCATGAAACTCCCGTGCCGTATTATTGTCCCTAATAAGATTATTCATTCGCATTCATACAGTTCGAAGTGGATTGGGGAACGCAATTTAGCTTGAAATCCATTGTGTCTCTGGCTAGTTCTGAAAAGAAATCAATCGTGGATTGACAAGTTTCCCTTTCCCTTCTTC